AAAGTTATACTTTTGTGGTATCACCTTCACGATGCATGTCTCTCGAACGAAGGAATAATCGATAATGTCAAAAGACCTGTGCCTTCTGCGTGAATAGATTGCGACCAGAGCAGAATGTCAGAATGTCCCAACGTTAGCTGAGGCTTCTGTATTAATGAAACTAGCTTTCATCTTCATCCTGAGTTAACGTAGTTGTAGTAGCAGCATTTCATAGATTAACAAATGCTTCGAACGAAATGGGACCAGTGGTTTGTACTAAATATTTGCTGCCACGGTTCAGGTAACATTTGTTTGAAAAGGGCTCTTTCTGGCCAGTCTTGTAATACATCAGTGGTTCTGAAGTCCATTTCTGAAATTGGTATATGTTCACATACAGTTTTGTATTTAAAAACGTAGAGAGTACATGCCAGCACTTAACGTTGTTTTTTAATGTCAACGTTTTATGCATTTTGATATTAAGACTCAGAAGTACCTGAAATTTTTTACGAATGCTTTTATTTGCGTCTGTGTGTTTCCCTTAAGAAGTTTAACGTCTTCTTCGATGTTGATCATCCTGTTTTCAGGCGACTCCGACTTTGAGCACTTTTGTGAATTATGTGGTCGTGCTAAAGCTCAGAAACTTTTCCGTAAGTACTTAAGTGAATTGCGTGTGTACAACCATCAGCATCGTGTTCAGAGGCAGCTCGATCGATTGCCACGGATATTTTCTATCCTGGTACCCGACGTAGCTATGCTTAGCGGAAAGTAATGTCGCCAATGGCCGCATCGTGCGTCGTTCCACTAATCACTATCTTTTTTCAGGTCTTGGGACACTGTCATCAACTACTTACAAACTTTGCCCGATTTCCACAATTACTTCCAGGTAGTCAGTGCCGCTGGCAATGGCGATTACGGTCGTCACTCACCACCATCATCGCCCTCATCGTCTGCTGCCGCCGCCTCTGCCGCAGTTACCGATGTGCAGCCGGACGGCAGCGAGAGCGGCGGCGAAGATGACCGCGTTTCTTGTGCCCTGCTACACACTCGCGAAGCCGAGGCTTACTACCGCAACCACGTCGCCTTCGTCGAGGCGCAGAATCGACGGCAAAAGTGAGACCACCATTGCTTATCTACCCTATTTTCTTTGAACAGCGAGGCAGAGGGCCTATTGCGAATGGAGCACGGAAATTGGATTATTCCCTTATTGGGAAAATCCGCCAGCTGATGTAGAATTTAAGATTTTAATTGGAAAAATGGGTAATTTCAAGGGATAAGAACACACATAAACAGATATAGAACCGGTTAAGAGTTACTTTCTGAGCAAGGCGAAGAGTTACTTTCTGATATCTTTGTTTCCTGTAGCGTGTGCGCCTTTCTTTTATTTACACGCTTAACTCGTCTTGTTAACAAAACTCGAAACCTGTGATCAAAGTGAAAATTCGATTGCAGTTATTTGTAACGTGAAAAGTTCTGGCTGATTCCTGACTACTACAGAAATCACTCAGTATTTTTCCCACGGTACGCTGATTTTTTGTGACAGCACAGTTTTGCTTACTTAACCGTGTAACGCAGTGTTCAAACGTTAAACACAATGTCAGTCTTGCACAGCGGATTCTATACAAACATAATAACTTACGTGAATAGCGAATAAGCCATTGTTTTTATTAAAATCGTAATTATAATATTCATTGAAGCAGTTGTAAATCTGTTTTCGAAGATGCAGTTGTTGCCGTCGGATAGCAAAAGTGTTGAAAAACCGAACAAACTTGCGGCGTTCAGAGCAAACACTAACGCAACCTGGGGTTGAAAATAGCGAGTCTGCCTCTTATTTCCCATGTACTTCATAGTTTTATATTCCATCGCGTTCGCTACAGGCGAAACGGACGTTTCAAACGAAGCTCAGTTCTTTTTAGGGAAATTATTTTGTAAATTCATAAATGGGTATGAATTTACATTTCGATATCTAATATCGGGCCTGTTCGGCTTAAGTACACC